GTCGAAGTGTCCTTGAAGCTGGACCGTCAGGCTGAGCTGTCTCCGCGCATGTTTTTCCTGGAGAAGGAGAAACACTCGGTCTCCAATTCCACCATCGAGCTCAGGAAGTCCGTCAAGGGATGCAAGTCGGTGTACACTTACATCACCGTAAGTAGTTTTATCAGTATTTTTTGAGTGTTTTTTTTTTTCTTTTTTTTTTTTTTTTTTTTAAGCTTCGACTTTTCTTCTTCTTTCTTTTTCTTCTTCGTCTTTTTTCTTTTTCTTTTTCTGTTCTTTGGCTTCTTCTTTTTTCCTTCTTCTTTCTATTATTCTTCTTCTTCGGTCTTTTTTTCTTTTCTTTCTTCTTTTGCTGTCTTTTTATTCTTCTTATTCTTTTCCTCTCTTCTATTCTTTCTTCTTCGTCTTCTTTTTTTTCTCTTTCCTATTCTTTTTCTTCTTCTTTTCTATTTTTCTCTTCAATTGGTTCTTCTTCATCTCTTTTTTCTTTCTCTTTCCCTCTTCTTTTCTGTTTTCTCTTCTTTCTCTTCTCTTTCTTTTTCTTCTCTTTTTTCTTCTTTTTGCTTACTATCTTCTTCCTTTTGGTTTAGAATTTTGATCAACTGGTCTTCACGACAAACAAACGCCGTCCGTCAGCGAGGTGACTGATTCCGCAACTGACTCATTTTCCGAAAGAGACTTAAATGGCAAAATCTATTGGGTTGATCTTTGTTGTGATTGATGGTGTTATTTTTTGTGTGACACTGGCGAACCGTTGCCTTTTTGATGTTCCTGTTCGCCAGCTGATCCATCATCAGCTGGACTCTCCCTCTCTTTCTCTCTCTCTCCCCTTCCCTCCTCCCTGGAGTCTCTCTTCTCTGGTCTCTCTCTCTCTCTCTCTTTCTCTCTCTGTCTCTCTTCTCTCTCTCTCTCTCTCTCTCTCTCTCTCTCTCTCTCTCTCTCTCTCTCTCTCTCCTCTCTCTCTCTCTCTCTCTCTCTCTCTCTCTCGTCCTCTCCCTCCTCCCTCCCTCCCTCCCTCCCTCCCTCGCTCTTTGACTCTCCTTTCACGTGTCCCTCTCCTCGCTATCCTTCTTACCTCCCCTTTCTCGCTCTCATTACCTCCCTTTTTCCTAATGACCGGACCACTCTGCCGTCATCTCCCCGCCTCTGGGCTCTCCCACCTGCTTGTCAGCGCATTAGCACCTCTTCTTCCTTTTCTTCCTCCCTTCCTCTTCTTTCCATTCTCCATTCCCTTCTTCTTCTGCCCTCCTTTCCCTTCCTCCTTCCTTCCCTTCTCCTTCTCCTTCTGTCCCTTCCTCCTTCCCCTTTTCCTCCCCCATCCTTCTCTCCCTTCCCTTCCTTCCTCTTCTCCACCTTCTCTCCCTCCTCCCTTCCCCTTTTTTTTCCATCTTCCCTTCTCCTTCTACTTCTCCCTCCCTCCCGTTTTTCCTTCCTCCCTTCCCCTTTCTCCACTTCTCACCACCCGCTTCTCCTCCTCCCCCCAGAGCGATCCCCGCGATAAGCTGACGCCCCTGGAAGCGGAGATGCACTACCGCCTGCCGGAGGGTCGGCCTCGTGTCCCCCGCGAGGTGCTGCGCGCGATGCTGGCTCCTCCTGCGACGGGAGAGCGAGAGGCGACCCGCACGACCATCTACATCAAGAACAACTGCGGCGAGGACAACGTCTGTGTGCCGGACCTCAAGACGAGGGTCAAGACGTAAGTAGCAAGGGCCTCAGACCTTCGATTTTTCGGGCTATTTGGGGTCAGACCTTCATTTTTTTTCGGGCTTTTGGGGTTCAGGACCTTCGATTTTTCGGGCGTTTTTGGGGTTCAGACTTCAATTTTTAGCTCAGACCTTCAATTTTTGCGGATTTGGCGATTTGGTCATGTAAAGTTGTTTTCGAGGGTCTTTAGGACGGCGGCGTTAGCATATCCAGCGCCCCGAGGTAATGACGGCATTCGTGTCTGTTTCAAAATACCCGAGAGGTTGTAGAAATCGAGATGGAGTGTATTCAGACACGTAAGCCATTGGGTTTAGGAAAAAAATAGGATTTAACTAATACTACCTCGCCCTTTGCACGCTCTTCTTTACAAAGTTTTTTTTTCTGTCAAAGGAAAGGGAACGAAAAGAGGTGAACGATCAGTGAATAGTCATTCATTTGAATTGCAAAGCAGTAAGCTGCCGCAGTGCACTGAATGGGCGAACTTGGCTTTTTTTTTTCTTTCTTTCTTTTTTTTTTCTCTCTCCTTTTTAACTTTGCACACTCGCTTTTTTTCTTTTTCTTTGTATATATATTTAGATTTTTTTTAGCCTTTTTTCCTTCGTTTCTTTTAAGGCTATAAATAACACAAATATTTTCTTTCTTATCTCCTTGTTTTTATCGTTTCTTTTTCGACGCTCGGCGCGATTCCGAGAATTACTCGAGAAACGAAAATATGCCTAATTGTGCATGTAATAAGCTGCTTGTTTACATAACGTCAGAGCAAAGGGGGTGTGAAGTAGAGTGGCGTAGATACACCCGAGCTTTGAATAAATAAACGAGCTGTTTTGGCATAATGAAACGCATATCTCTCATTGGATTTCCCGCGCTTTCTTTGCCCGCCATCTTTCTTTCGTGTATCCTCAACCCCGTTATTTTCATCTCTCTTTATCTTCTGCTTTTCCATTCTTCTTTCGCCATCTCTCCCCCCATACCTTCGCTGACATTAAAGGGTTTTTACACTCGCATATGTTGTGGGGGATCGCTAACCTGTGGGATCCGAACGCTTAAAACGTCCGTTACGCGGTGATACGATCCCGCCGTTTGTGGCGAAGTTGATCCTCTTTTGTTTTATTGCTCAGTTGGCGGCTTTTTTTACATTCTGGCTGTTTAGGCGATCACACCTTTTTTTTTTGCGAGGATAGACTTATTTTAAGGGGACGGTAATTCTCGCTCGCTTTCTCCCGCTCGTGTAAAATTGGCTAATGGCTTGAATGGAAGCGAAAATAGTCCAGTTAATATGCCGCCATTTTTTTTTTTTTTGGGGGGGGGGGGGGGGGACGCGAGCTAACTTTGGCGCACTTCCCGACCCGCCATTGTTTCGAGTAAATGATCTTTTGTTTTGAGGCAAATGGGCGTATTTGGTGACGTATCTGGGCGCCATATCTCGGCAATGTCGTTTAAGGGCGTCTTTGAGGGGGGTTCCTGTTGCCATGATGTTGCCATTGTCGTTTTATTATTATTTTATGTCATTTTCTTAACTAAGTGGCATTGGTTAGTGGGTGGCTGGTCCGCTCCTTGCAGTCTGGGTGGTCGTTGTACCCTCTTTTCAGTGTGGTTAGTGTTTATGTAAAAGGAATGGCGGTTGAGGAATTATTAGCCATTGCGCATACGTGTTTTCTTCCTTCCTTCTCTCGCTCTCTGTCTTCCTTTCCCGTGATTTCTCTGTGTATCTATCTAGCTGTCTGTCTATCCATTCATCTATTTTTATATTTCTTCTCTGTCTGTCTTTCTATCTCCGCTCTCCCTCCTCTTCTCCTTTTCTCCCTTCCATTCCCTCCCCTCCCCTCCCTCCATCTCAATTCCTTTCCCTTTCTCTCTCCTCTCCCTTCCTCTCCTCCTCCCTTCCTCCTCTTTTTCTACCCGCTCTCTCTCCTTTCCCTCCTCCATCTCCACCTTTCTCCTTTCCACGCTCTTTGCCACCACACACCCTCCCCTCCCCTCCCACCCCACCCCACCTTAGCAGGACCACACCATACCCGCCCCGCATCCCTCGATATGGATATCCTTTAGCCACATTAACATAGCCGCGATGACCTTGCAACGACATTGATCTAGTCCCTTATAAATAAATAAATAAATAAAAAAGAAAAATAAGTCGCATCTGTCTGTCCTAGGGTTTGGAATGTATAGAGACGGATTTTGTTGTTGGATGTGTTGGGTGTCTGTGTGGATATGGGGAGGTTGTGTTTTTTTCTCTTTTCTTTTTTTTCTGTTTGTCTTCTTCTTTCTCTCTCTCTCTTCTCTCTCTCTCTCTCTCTCTCTCTCTCTCTCTCTCTCTCTCTCTCTCTCTCTCTTCTCTCTCTCTCTCTCTCCCTCCATCCTTATCTTTCTTTATCTATCTCTCCTATCTTTCTTTCAAACTCAACTCTCTAAATACTTTAATAAATTGGCTTTAAATGTCCCACTTCCATCCGCTAGCCTCTACATGTACTTAGCATACGGGGTCACGGCATACGAGGTCACGGCGAGGTCATACAGTTCCTGAAGTAGGTCACATCTGCCCCCCCCCTCGTTGGAGTGAATGCGTTACCCTGCAAACTTCATTTCCACTATTAAGCTAAACAGCTGGTCATTTGTTAGTCGTTTGCTTTGGTTGTTTGCTTGTTGTAAAGGCTTTATGCGTGTAGGGTTGTTAAGGAATTATATTTTGGTTTGATGTGTTTATTTCTGTGTTGATTTTACTCTGGTTATTTGGGTGTTATAAACGGCTTTATATGCGTGTAGAGTTACTAAGATTTTGGTGGGGTTGATGTGTTTATTTTTGTGTTGAATTTACTCTGGTTATTTAAGTGTTGTAATCGACTTTATGCGTGTAGAATTATCAAGAAAATTATAATTTGGTTCGATGTATTTATTTCTGTGTTGATTTTTACTTCGGTTAACTGTGTTGTAAGCGACTTTTACACCCATCAAATTCTCAAGAAATTATATTTAGGCTTTCACACACATCTATTTCCAAGTTGATTCTGCAACATAGGAATACACGGGTGGACGCCGGCTGCACACGGACGCCACGCAACACTTGACAACGAGGGACAGCCAGCCCCCTTAACCCTCGCTAACGCCCCGCCTCCCCCTCGTTAACCTTCGCTCTTTCCCATTATCATTACTGTCATCAGGATTTTGCAGACGGTCGTATGTGTTTGTGTTTGTGTGCGTGGCTGTTGGTGGGTTTGTTTGGGTGTGTGAGGTCGGGTGGAAGACAGACGGGGATGGGGAGAGATGTAGAAAGTTGGAGAAAGGGAGAGATGTAGAAAGTAAAGAGAGGGGAAGAGACTAGAAAGACAAAGAGAGAGAATAGAAAGACACACAGAAAGAGAGAGACAGAAAGACAGAGAGAAGGGGAGAGACATAGAAAGACACAGAGAAAGGGAAGAGACATAGAAAGACAGAGACATAGACAGAGAAGAGGAAAATGGACCGACAGAGAAAGGGAAGAGACATAGAAAGACAATCAGAGAAAGGAAATGAAAGACCGACAGAGAAGAGGAGAGAGACATAGACAAACAGACAGCAACAGAGTCAGTGTCCGTTTGTTCCTCACCCCGCCATGCAGAGGCATTGCCCAGACACCCGATAGTGAGCCAGGGAGGGGAAGGGGGCAAGGGAAGCACCATACAAGGCAAAGGTGATACTCCGACGTGTCCAACCTGCCTGTCACTGCAGGTACTGGCGAAGCTCAAAGACATGGGATGGTCTTTCCTGTAACTAAAAAAAAAGTCCTTTGTTACTGTTATTGCAACCTTTTTTATTGATTTTGGTTTTAGATGTTAATGGAAAAAATTAATTAATGAGTCTCTAACCAAAAAAAAAAGTCCTTTGTCACTGTTATTGCAACCTGTTAGACTTTTTTTATTAATATTATTTTAGATGTTAATGGGAAAATTAATTAATGAGTCTGAGAGATCGAGACCTCGTAGCGAAAAATATTTTACATGAAAAAAAAAACAAGAAAGAAAAAAGAGAGGCCAGTGGTGTGGGAACGGCCATGTGGTCCACGCTGCTTATTATACAGGACCATGAGGCGGAGGGCGAGTGGCCAGCGTCGCCGCTACATGAAACTTTCATGAACTGACCCCAGAGCCCGGGTTTTCACGCGGTACCACCCCCCCCTTCACGTTGCTGGATAAGGGGAGGGGGGTTATAGTGGGAATTTGAAATGATGGGATACACTCTCTCTCTTTTTCTCTTCTCTCTCTCTCTCTCTTTCTTTCTTTCTTCTTTCTCTTTCTTTCTTTCTTCTCTCTCTTCTTTCTCTCCTCTCTCTCTCTCTCTCTCTCTCTCTCTCTCTCTCTCTCTCTCTCTCTCTCTCTCTCTCTCTCTCTCTCTCTCTCCTCTCTCTCTCTCTCACATCTCTCCCCTCCCTCCTTCTCTTTCCACCAAACAATCTAAACAATCTCTTTTTTATATCCAATCCCTCCTCCCCTTCCCTCATTCTCTCTCCCACTCGTACATTTCCCTCATTGATTATAATATCTATCTATCTATCTATCTATCCCCCTACTTTCTGCCATGGGAAACATTCCTTCAGCGCCACGAACTTCACGCGTCGAGGCCTGTTCTCTGTCCAGGAGGATGACTTACACGAAGGTTATGTTAATGTTGACGTGAGGTTGGACGGCCAGGCCTTCTTGGGTCGTCCGGTCGAGGCTGATGACGGTCCTCATGCGCTACGGTGAAGGAGATCCGTTGTAGATTCCTTCTGGGTTAGGTTGTCGTCGGTCTTCGTAGTTTGATGGTCTTTTAGTGTTCTTTTAGATGGCCTTTTGGGGATGTCTGGGGCTACCTACCTTTCTGGCTATGTTGAGTGGGATGAAAAGGAATATTTTCAGGTCTTTTAAATGAAGGGTTTAGGTCTAGGGTTCGCACTGACTCACACACACACACACTGAGGGGAGGGGGGGGGGGTATAGTGGGAATTTAAAAATGATGGGATACTGCCTCCTCTCCGCCTCTCTTTTTTCTTCTTGTCTGTTTCCTCTTCTCTTTCTCTTTTTTTTCTCTCTTCTCCTCTCTCTCTCTCTCTCTCTCTCTCTCTTCTCTCTCTCTCTCTCTCTCTCTCTCTCTCTCTTCTCTCTCTCTCTCTCTCTCTCTCTCTCTCATCTCCTCCCTCTCCCCTCTCTCCCCTCTCTCCCTCCCTCTCTCCCTCTCCTCCCCATCTCTCCCCCTCTTCTCCCTCCTCTCCTTCTTCTCTCCCCCTCTTCCCTCTCTCCTTCCCTCCTCTCCTCTCTCCCTCCCCTCCCCCCTCCTCCCTCCCTCCCTCCCCCTCTCCCTCCCTCTCCTCCCCTCCCCCTCCCCCTCTCCTCCCTCCCTCCAAGGAACGTTTGTTTTTTTTCTCCCTTCGACTGACAATGAAGCCGTCAACCGCCCGCGCTGAGCGATCTCGTGAATCAGGCTGGCCGTCCGGCCGTGTTGTTGCTTAGAGATCAGAGCGTAGGCCTACAGTAGAGCCCCGTGTCCCTCGCCGTGTTATAAGTCAGGGAGATGTTGTGTTTCTCGCTCTGATAGAAATGAGGAGTGAGGGATGGCGGGGGGGGGGGGGGAGGGGAGGGGAGGGAGGAAGGGATGGCGGGGAAGGAGGGAGGAGGGAAGGGAGGGAAGGAGGGGGTGGGGGGATGGTGGTGTGAAGGGAAGCAGATAGGCAGGGCAGGCGGGGACCGACATGGTTGATGTGTGGGAGTCTTTGTTCGGGAAACACATACACACGACAAGAGAGACAGATACACAGACACACATACACATACACACACACACAACACACACACACCACACACACACACACACACACAACACACAACACACACAACACACACACCAACACGCAGAGAGAGAGAGAAAGAAAACGATAGAGGGAAAGGAGAGAGAGAGAGAGAAGAGAAAGAAAGAGAGAGAGGGAGAGAGGAGAGAAAAGACAGAGAAAAAAAAAAAAAAAAAAAAATAGACAAGGAGGTGGACTGAAGCTGTATCGGAGGCGCGCAGTTGACTTTGGCCAGCTGGCAGCCACAGGGCGGTATTTCGACGAGGTATTGCGAACCTACAAGAGTTAACGAGCACTGGATGCCACCTCTGGGTTTATCGCGGGACGGATCGGGTGCGGCCATGGCATTTTTTTATTTCTTTTTCTTGTTTTTTCTCTTCTTTTTTTTACTTCTATTTTTTTTCGTTTCCTTTTTTTTTTTTTTCTGCTTCTTTTTCGTATTCATCATTTGCTTCTTTTCTCTTTTTACTTTTTTTTTTCTTTTTCTCCTGCTCTTTCTTCATCATCATCTAATTCTTATTCTTATTCATCATCCAATTCCTCCCTTCATTCATCATCATCATCATCAATTATTATTAATTATAATTATTCATCCAATTCCTCTTCTTCATTCATCATCTATTTCTTCTTTTCTTCTTTCTTCTTCTTCTTCCTTTCTTTCTTTCTTCTGTCTGTCGACGAGACCATCTTAAACTCAATCATTTAGACTTGCCATCTTCGGCGATTTTTTTTCCCTCTCGTCTTGTCCATCTCAACGCCATGGTATGAGTAAACGTTTCTCTTTCTTATCGTTATCTTTAACTGACGGGAGAGACTGGACACAATAGAGGTCGATAATTATGCAAACGTTTTTTTATTTTTGTTATTTTTTATAAACTTTTTTTCTTTTTCTCTTTCCCTTTTTATTTCAAATCTTTTTTCTCTTTTTCTCTTTTCTTTTTCTCTTTCTTTCTTTTTTTTTCTTTCTCTTTCTTTCTTTTTCTTTTTTTCTTTCTCTCTCTCTTCTCTCATCTCTCACGTCCTTCTCTCTCCTCTCCTCTCTCTCCTCCTCCCTCTCTCTCTTCCTTCCCCTTTCTCTCCCTTCTCCCTTCCGTTCTCTCCTCGCTCTCTCTTCTCTCTCTCTCTCTCTCTCTCCCTCTCTCCTCTCTCTCTCCTCCTCTCTCACTCCTCTCTCTCTCCTTCTCTCTCTCTCTCACTTTCTTTTTTAAAATTAAGCAAAACTTATTTCTATGTTAGCATCTTACGACAATAATTATACGAACTGTTACCGAAAGCAAAAAGGGAGCGACTGCATTGACCGCCTGACGGGAGACCAACCTGTCTGTGGGAGATTTCGTGGGTGTTTTGGAGGAGCTGCCGTGGGTGATTAATGGCTGGGAAGAGATAAAGGAGACGTTTACAGCCACGGTTGTGTCGGGTATTGGCTTTTGTGCGGCCGTGCGTGTGTGTGACAGGTCGGTGCCCCACCCTCGTCTCTTTCTTTCTGTTTCTCTTTTTTTTCTCTTCTCTTTCGTTTCTCTCTTCTATTTCTCTCTTTCTCTCTCTCTTATTTCTTCTTCTCTCTCTCTCTTTCTCTTTCTCTCTCTCTCTTCTCTCCTCTCTCTTTCTCTCTCTCTCTCTCCTCTTCTCTCTCTCTCTCTCTCTCTCTCTCTCTCTCTCTCTCTCTCTCTCTCTCTCTCTCTCTCTCTCTCTCTCTCTCTCTCTCTCTCTTTTCTTTCCCCCCTTTCTCTCATATTCTCCCTTTTCCCTCTACGTTCTCCTTCTCCTCCTCCTCTCTTCCAATTCCTCCCATGCACCACCATCACATTAATAGATGGCACGGGAATCATCAGCGATACCCCCTCAGCCATGCCCTTATTTAGTCGCACGTCGTAGATATTCGGTATTAATAAGGCATAAAGGTTTGAGTCATCATAACCAGTCGCATTATCGACGGTCTTTTGTATAAGGGATTGAGAAACTTCGCGACTTCCAAGTACGGTCGAAGCTCATCGTTAGTGAGACAACCGCCGCCGCCGCCGCCGCCTTGGTGCTATGTCATTAGCGAAGGACGAAGACCTGGCTTTGTTGTTGTTCGTTTATGCTGGAGGGGAAAAAAATGGCGTCGGAGGAAAAAAGGTATAAAAGGAGAAGAAGAAGAAAGCCGCGCCATAATATAGATCTCATTTGACACTTAAGCTGATCTCTATCTGAAGTCGAACGAGACGAGAAGAAAATGTGTCGGATGGCGGCGGTGAATCAGCCTGGCGATTGTCGTTGATTTCACGGATGTCGAGGTTCTGGCGCCGGGAACGGATCCGACACTTTTGGCGGGAGATCGGTGTTGCTTTGTTAATTAATTGGGTGCCGGTATCTGATTTTTTTTTCTTTTTAAATAAGGGATCTTTGAGGTCGATAAAAAGCTCGAGTATATTTTTGTAGTAATTAGATTAGGATTATTGGTTTTAATGGATGTGTCTTTTTATTACGCAGTTAATTGGATGTTCCTAAGGGATTTTTCTCTTTTTGTAGTCTCTCTTTTTCCCATCTTTTCTCTTCTTTTTCTTCTTCTTGTTCTCTCGTCCTCCTCCTCCTCCTCCTGCTGCTCCTTCTCTTCTCCTCCTCCTCCTCCTCCTCCTCCTCCTCCTCCTCCTCCTCCTCCCTCCTCCTCCTCCTCCCCCTCCCAAAGCGCAATTAGATATTAATAAAGAAGAGGTCAATAATTCCCCACGATTTCCTTTCTCCTCCTCCAGCGACTTCGACGAGTACGTCCTCGGCTCCCGCGACAACCTGGTGCTGATGACGGGCGTGAGCAACGAGGGCGAGGACTCCTTCCAGACGAAGCTGCACGTGCGCGTCCCCAGAGGCGTCACCTTCAGCAAGTTCCTGGTGACGTCCAACACCGCGGATGACGTCACGCCCATCTGCTCGGCGCTCACGAGAGAGGACGACGAGGAGGTGCGTTCAGGAGGCCAAGGAAATTTTTGGGTATTTAGTTATATGGGGAGAGATCGATATAGATTGATAGATTGGTAGATATTGATAGATATTGGTAGAGGACGACGAGGAGGTGCGTTCAGGAGGCGAAGGAAAGTGAAAAACAGGAAGCGTGTTTCGGGGCGCAAGGAATTAAGGGAAATGTAGGAAAATTGATAGATTGATATTGATAGATAGTGAAGGATATAGATTGATAGATATTGAAGGATATAGATTGATAGATATTGAAGGATATAGATTGATAGATATTAAAGGATATAGATTGGATATTGAAGGATATTTTGATAGATATTGAAGGATATAGATATGATATTGAAGGATATAGATTGATAGATATTGAAGGATATAGATATAGATATTGAAGATATAGACTATTATAGACAGATATGGATATTGCAGATATGGGTTATGTGTGCTATAAGGATAGGACAAATGGTGATTGTGGTAGAAAGATTAATTAAATTTCACCTTTGCCTCTACAGCAGGTGGTATGCGACGTGGGCAATCCTCTGCCCTCAGGGAAGGAAATTGCCCTGCAGCTGGTGTTCCAACCCAACCCCGAGGCCATCATCAGCGCGCGCCTCACGGTCCTGCCCTTCAACGTGACCGCCACCTCGACCAACGAGGAGCTCCACGGCACCGAGCTGGACAACCACGTCATGAAGGAGCTGCAGGTCACCGTCAGGAGCGACATCGACATCAAGGGGTGAGTCAGACGAGCAACAAAAGGCACGAGTCTTGTGGATAATTTGGAGGATGTTAAGCGTCGCGAGAGTCGCAAAAAGGGCGAGCATTAACGCGGTTTCTTCCCAGGATCTCGTGGCCGGACGGCGCCTTCGACTACAACGCCTCCCGCTTCGGCATGGGGCTGCTGGGCGAGGGCGAGCGGGTGACCCACGACTGGCAGGTCGGCCCGGAGGTCACCCACGTCTACGACGTCACCAACCAGGGGCCGTCGGACCTCCCGCAGGCGCAGATTTTCCTCCTGTGGCCCACCAGGACGCTCGGAGGCGACCCGCTGCTCTACCTGCTGGAAGAGCCCGACGTGTCGTCCGAGGCCGTCTGCCACTCCGTCCCTGATGTCAACTACCTGGGGCTCACGGTACGTGCTGTAGGCCTTGTGGGTGCGGGGGTTTTGGCCTTCTAGTTTGTATTTTGGTCTCAAATTTCATATCGAATTCTAACAGTGCGTAGAAGTTAAAGCAATGTTGATTCTGACCACAGGTAGCGGAGGCGACGTACGACCACCTGATAACGGCGCCCGAGCTGGCCGCGCAGGTGGGCAGCTCCTTCCTCCACGTGACCGAAGAGAGCGCAGCGCTCCACGCGAAGCACCGGACGCGCCACGGCCACCGCCTGAGGAGGAGTCAGAGGCGGCGCCTGGAGGACGAGCTGTCCTGCGGCCCGACCAACTGCACGCGCGTGATGTGCACGGTGTCGCCGTTCAGAGCCAAGTCCAACATCATCATCCGCGTGCGATCCCGCCTCTGGGTGGACACCATCGAGAAGGTAAGCGCAACGCGGGGTCAGGGCGTGGTCCTTGCGGGTACAGTTACTCGACTCATACTATTATTAGCTGATTTTGGGCGTCTCTAAACCCGTTGTCCGTTCTGCACCAACAGCTGGGGAGGTCCGAAGTGAAGATCACGTCCCGCCTGGTGATCGCCGGAATGGGCATGGCGGAGGAGGACGAGGCGGGGCCCAGCTGGGGCGACGTGGAGCAGCTGTGGGCGGGCACGGTGACCACGCTGGTGCGGACGGGCCCCGAGGAGCACGTGCGCTCCCTCAAGTGGGTGGTGATCGTGGGCAGCATCCTCGCCGGCCTGCTGCTGCTGGCTCTCCTCAGCGCTATTCTGTGGGCGGTGAGTGTCGCGAAGACTCGTTCGTTCAAGGTGTGAATTATAACACTGTTATGTTGGATAATTTTTCCCCATGCGGCAGACACACGAATACTTATTGCTCCTCTTTTCCCTCCTCCAGTTGGGCTTCTTCAAGAGGAAGCGGCCTCAGGACAAGTCGGACTCCGAGCCCCTCAACGGCAACGGCTTCTACAGCAACGGCAAGTCGTGAGGGTCGCCGCCCCCGCGGAGAGGAACCCCGGCAGAAGTGACTCCTCGTGCCCTCGGCGGCTCGTGCATCACTGGAGAGCCGCTTGCCGTGTAATGTGCAGCTGAAACAGAGCTTTAATCGCGTGTTTCGGCTGCGCATTGCAACTTGGACGGGAAATATAAGAAAATGATGATGGCTATGTTGACAATGCGTGGAACTGTTCACCGACCGTACCTCTCGACCGAGGCGAAAGTGTTAATGTATAGAACCTCCCACCTATCAGATCATGCTTCATTTTTAAGGTGTTTGAAGTTACCGTCACTTTAGCATTAAGTGTACCGTGTGCTCAAAAGTGCCATATTAGCTCCTTCAGTCACTGCTTTTTGTGCCTTATATGTTGCCTGAAAATATTTTCCGGTTATTTCTAGGACTATGGATAATATTCGGACAATCTGGTCACCAAAAGTGCAATTTCTGTGTGCATGTGACTGCCATGATGCATTTAAAAGGACGTGTTGAATCGGGTGATTGACTCGTCTGACATAACATAGAGTAGCGTAGCTGTTTAATAAGTGCTAAGGTTGAGTACTTAAAATGTGAGCTGACGTCCGCATTCTGTAAATAAGCCTAGTGGAATGAAGTCTTAGTCATATGATGTAATTTTCCTTGTAAAAACAAACAAACAAACAGACGTTATATATATGAATATAAATCATGTAGATAATTATGCAACCGCTTCGTGGCACTGGCTCGTGTTGAACGCAGAGAGAAAGAAAGAAAAAGAGGTGGAAAAGTGTGTGATGACTACTTACAGAAGAAAATGCAGAGGCTTTGTAAATCTCGACATTTCAGTGTTGGATATTGAAGGAAAAATGAGGAAATGAAGGAATGACCCTCATGTCTTAAGGGAAATGTGCATGTGAAACCGTAGTTGCAGTTTATCTCGGTAAACTAGTTATCTTGGTAAGCTTGTTTCCTGCGGGTAACTGTTAACCAGCCAACGACCTCGTCAGGCTACCCACTTGCCTTTTCCCTTCCCTCACAGACACTGCTTCCACGAGCCAAGGGGCCAAGACGCGTTATTTGGACTGAGGCCAAAACAATAAGGCCTCCATTCCTAATACTGTGATTGTGTATATATATTTTTTTACAGTTAATTTCCACGATTTTATTCCCAATTCAACGAAGGAATGGGTTATTTTACTTGACCGCGTTTTGTACATATAAATGTTTACGTGCTTTTGGTTTGCAATAGGTATCACAGATGTCACTTGTTGGGTAAATAGAAAAAAAACACGATTCCTATTGTAATTCCAGTGTAGTATTTATAGGAAAACCGCATTGTGTGCCATGAACAACATTCACCAAGAAGATACATTTCATTAACTGTTCAGATCTTGTTAAGGTAGATTTTTAAATGGCTATTTGTAGTTAACTTTGTTACATGAAGTACTTGTAGGTTAAGGACAACAATGATTATTTGAATCTCATCAAGTTGTGTTCTAGTCAATTTCCATTATTTGTCTACTTACAATATACCCATATTTAGTTATAGATTATCCACTATTCTCTCTCCCTGGGAATGAATGCGCACGTTCGTTTCGGTAGAAAAATGTGAATCTCAAGTGAACATATTGTTCATAGCTCTGCCGTTGTGCCGTTCCTTGCTGCTGCTACGTTCAAGGAGGCGCCGGATAACTGATCATATTAGTGGTCGGAATTTTATTTGCCCTTTTAAGCTTATAGAGAAAATGTATTCTTCTTTTTTCTTATTTTATGACTTTAATTTCTTTCTCTATCTTAATCGTCTCTCTTTTCGCGATGTGTTCAATTTTAGAAAACGAGAATAAAATGGTATAAAATGTATTCATAGGTGGAGACAGCTGTTCACTAGAAATAGTAAAATTGATGTTTTGTGTAAATTAAAGGGGCACAAAGTTGATTTTATCCACTAGGATTTATACGTGACTCATCTTATGTACATAGAAGTTACTTGAGAGTGAAAGTAGGCAGTGCAACTCTTGAGTAACATAAAAGGTGTTAGAACTGTATTGTATGAATAAATATAATTTCCCAACCATTTAAGGACATTCTCGATGCAGGTATTACCACTAACTAACAAAGATCTTCCACTTTGCGTAACAAAAAACGTAATTCTAATATTGAATGGCACAAATTCTTAACCCTATGTATCCAGAGCTCTCTTTAAACTGCTATAAAAAAGCCAGGTTTGTGTGTTTGCTGTGTCAAGCTCCCATCCCCAAAGGAAGCCAAAAGTCATGTCCTCTCGTATGGTAGAAAGGAGAGACTGTGAATGTTAATATTACTTAACGTTGTGTATGCTGTCCGTGTATCGACTTGACAATCGTGTGTGCCTTACGGAGTCCGAATAAAACTACTATCCTAATCCATGTGTTTAAAGTAAACCTTCATATATATTTTACCAGCAGTTTGTAAAGAACAAGAGAACTTGCTTT